AATGCTTGACAATGACGACACGAGGTGGTGATATGTGCCTCTCCGAGACACAAAAGGCAAAGATCGTGGCTGTCCGAATCAGGGATCTTCTTCGGACATTTCGCGCATCTTTTGAAACGAGTTGTTGACATAATATAGTCAACAACCCGAGGAAAAGTCTAGAGAGAATTCACTATCCAACACTATCCTAGAAGTACCGAAGCGAGCCGTGCGGCGGAAAAAAAGAAATTTGGATCGGTGGGTGCAGTCGGGCGCCTTTATTTCCCCCTTTCCGGGGCTGGGCAGGGTTGACTCTTGCCTGAATAACTGGAGACATATTTTATAATGGAGAAGTTTCCGTTGAACCCCGCAGAGAGACCTTGAACGGTAAAACTATGTATCCACTCAACTAATGCATGAAACAGTGCTTGGTCTTTTTATGATTAAAGCTTATTTGAATTCTTTTCTGGCTAACGTCTGTACCAGATGGGCTTGTTTTGAGCAGTTTATACCACATCATTTTCTGCCATTTAATGCCTCTTTTCCCTATAAACACTGCTACATTTTCCTGTAGACTTTATGTTAAATCTTTGTGGTTCACAAGAGTGCCACATTTTAGGATCTTTTCAATCACAGTGTTTAATATTCCATTGTTTATAAGATGTAGAAGTAGAAATAGCTCCACATCTCTCCAGGGACTCCTGTGGTGCCAGACATTGACACCTCTACAGTATAACTTGTATTGATACTAAACAGTGCAACAGTTGGACATCACAGAGAAGTATTCTAGTCCTTTCGCTGGTAGAGTCAAACATTAGCTTGTAAGGGGATCCCTTGGATTGGAGTACATACAAAGAAAGAAAGCTGCATATTATCACAGAACAGGAAAGACAATAACTGAAATTATTTATTCTTGTATGCAGAAAAAAATAGCAAAAGATTTACCTCCCTTCTCCAAGGCAGTTGTATGAGAAGGGGCGAAGCTGAAGTGACAGTGCTGTGAGCACTGACCAGCAAAATAGCAGAGGAGATTTAAAGCAGGAAGGAATCTCGAAAAAAGAAGCAGAAGGCAAAAGTGGTTATTCTGAACTAAAAGCACCATTGGAGAATAAATCAGTGTTGGGAGATGAGAGGGGATTGAAGACATCCAAAACTGCAGCCCAAGTCATGAACAAGCAGTCATGATGGGAAAAAAATGAACTGTGGTGCTCTGATGAACCACCATAGTTGAGTGATGCCTAGAAAATATCCTTGCCTTTAAAATCAGTTTTTGAAAGGAACAAGATGATTTATGGGGTAAAAGCAGAAAAGCCCCCAGAAGTGGGGCTTTGCAGAATGTTATTTAGATTCCGAAAGAAACACAGCAGCTACTTTTCCTGAGGGTACCTGGGAAGTAACACAAATGGTGTATCTGTATAACTTGTTCAATTTCTCATTTACTCCCATTTCCATTATTATAAACTTCACTATGTCTGTGTTGTTTTCCTCCCCTCATAGTTTATTTTCCTTTTCTCCAACCTTTCCATCTGCTCCCATCCTCTTCCTTGTGTGTATAATAATCTCTCTTTATTGTAAAAAATCTCCATCAGGCTTCTTCCTTTCTGTCTTCCTATTCCTTTCACACAAGATATTTCCTGGCTGTATGTAATGGGTATTATCTTTTCCTTCCTTTATTTTCTGTTTCCCATTATGCCTCCATGCCTCTCTTCCAATGCACATGCATTTCTTAGATTACTGTTTTCAATTTCTGTATGGATTATAACTGGGCTTTTGTGTTGCTAGGTTGATAGAGCGAGAGAGAGAAAGACTGAAGCTCTTTTATATTCTGCTTAGCTTTCAATTAATGATTGGTGCTTAATAAATAGTTGACAATGATAACTAGCTATTCAGGTTTTTGCTGTACTCTGGGAGCTGGCTAAGAGCAGCAAACTACTCTCTGTTCCAGCCTTCCAGGGAAGTAATAAAATAAGGCAAGAACAGTATAAGTGGTTTTTCCAGTTCACAAGGGCATGATTAACATACATTCTGTCATCCTGCAACCCTATGTTGTCCAACCAACTGGTAATACTTATATAAAAGCAAATGAATGGTATAAATGGGTGATGGATCACCTGCTAATAGCTCAACATTAGACAATTGGCTTTACAAAAACTCCATGTTCAGAGGTAGCTTGCCAATGAAAACTTATCTCTGGGAAGCAGCGGTGATGGGAGGCAGCTATTTTCATGAACTTCCAAAGGTCATGAATGGCTTTGAGTTTTGCATCTTCATCTCTAAATAAGACATTATGGAGTCTTGGTTTATATTTCTCATAAGTATTCTTAGACAGGCACTTACCATGTTCTTTACCTTTCATTCATTAGATTTCATGTTCCTTTAGCTGATCAATTAATATCTCTGGTCATCAGAAAAAACACTTCCTCATAATAAACAAATTATTTTAAGATAACCCATACAGGTTGAGTTTCCCTTATTCAAAATGCTTAGGACAAAAGTGTTTTTTTTAAAAAAAATGGGGGGGGATTGGAATACCTCTATTTGCATGTATGTATATAATGAGATATCTTGGGGATAGTACCTGAGTTTAAACACAAAATATACCTATATTTCATATATACTTTAAAGATACAGCCAGAAGCTAATGTTACACAGAATATTTGTAATAATTTTGTGCATACATTACATTAAACCATCAGAAAGCAAAAATATCATTATCTCAGCAACCTCTATAGACAAATTTGGGTTTTGGAGTATTTTGGAATTCAGAAGATAGCAGATGTTCAACTTGTGCTGAAATCTTATATTTACAGGGATTTCATATTGTTGTATTTAGATTTAATATTTAATATTTCACTTCATTTTCCAACTTCTGCTCAGCCTGTTCCTGAAGAATTACAAAATGGTGAAGGATTTGGTTATGTTGTTGCTTTCCGACCTCTTGGTGTTTCAATCTGGATACAGACAGTTGTGACATCACCGGACACTCCCAGATATGTCTTTCGAAATGAAAGCATCTTGCCATTTTCTCCATATGAAGTCAAGGTTGGCGTGTACAATAACAAAGGAGAAGGACCCTTTAGTCCCGTGGCCACAGTGTATTCTGCTGAAGAGGGTAAGTTATTGATTAATCACTCTTGCAACTTCTCGTGAAAAGGAAATACATGGATATTTGTTTAGCAAGTGTCAGTGAAGCCATTTTAATTAGCTGGCAACAAAGTCAGCTAGGATGTTTTTTTCTTTTTTCTTCTGCCCAAAACTATTGTTTTCGTTTTACTTTTGTTTCCAAATACAGAGCCCACTGTAGCACCTTCTGGCATAGCTGCAAGCAGTCTCTCATCTTCTGTAATTGAAGTATCCTGGATTTCCATTCCTTGGAAAATGAGTAGCGGGAGGTTGCTCGGCTACGAGGTAAAAATAAAATCCTCTGAAGACGTCCTATTTCCTACAAAATACAATGGCTGTGGCAGGGCACTTTTTATTTGCAAATCATTATTCATTCGCAGACTGGAAGCCAAAGCTTGCTGTTAAAAATCAGCTTTTCAGCCTTTGTGGCTTTATAGGAGAATAAGTCGTGTGCAAACATCTGGTGATGTATTCTTCTTTCTCCTCTCTCTCTCTCTTATCTTCCAACACCCGCCCCATAATTTTGGAGAGGAAATTACCTAAAAGGCCTACTGTTGAAAGCCAGAAAGGCCATTTTCTGTTTCTAAATCTAGATGAACACATGGTAGAGTTGCAAATAATCTGGTCTTTGGGGGAGTGTAAAAGCCAAATGTAAATATTCACAGATTTTTGTGCAGAACTTGAGCTTTGCCTTATTTGCTGGCATTACACCAGATCAATTACTTCAAGCTCACTAAAACTGCATTGAGAATGGGAATCAGCTGGCAGTTAGCTCCTGCTGTCACAGTCTGTACATGCCTGCCTGGTATCGGCTGCATCTCTTGTCACTATTCCCGCAAAGATAAGCACAGTATCTCAACCTCCATTAATACAAGCCAGTTTGCATTTACATACACATAGTTGTGTTCCTTTCTGCTTTGGGCAAGGCAGTGAGATCGCATGGGCAAGATGCTTTTATACAAACTGGAGTTTGAAGCTGACAACCAAGCAAATAAGACACCAAATTTGATAGTGGCATTTGCAATACAAAAGAGCAATAGTGAATTTGATGGTAATGGTAGAAAGCATCTGAGTATCTACAACTTCTGCAGATCAAAATAAAGTTGTTTCTTGTGGTTTAACTCAAATGAAATGATTCTCCCTTCAGTTAGTTCCCGTGATACTCTGAAAATTAAATGGGATTCTAACTATAAAAGCAAGCAATTGATGATGAAAATGTAGGTCCTAATAAGCAGTAATGTCAACAATATGTTCTACAGAGTCTATGTTTTGTTTTCACTAGGTAAGATATTGGAACAATGGTGGAAAAGAACAGTCTTCTAACAGAGTAAAAGCAATTGGAAATGAGACATCAGTAAAAATAACAGGTTTGAGGAGCAACCTGGTATACTTCACAGCTGTCCGTGCATACAACAGTGCTGGAGCAGGACCATTCAGTGCCACTGTGAATGCTACCACCAAAAAAACACGTAGGTATCATAAAGAGGGGAAAGAAGGAAATGAACAAGTGGGGTCCTCTTTTATTTACAAAGATGACAAAAAGATGAACATCTTAACAACCCAGTTAAAAATCTGATATTTTTTCTTTGATACCTTGAAAGCTTATATATGTGATCCATAAAGACCTTTGTATCTTCTCAGGGGACTTCAAGAATGAAATGAATATAGAATGGAAGACATACTGTTATAATTATTGTGATATACAAGCAAGCAAGCTTCTGAACACTTAAGCCAAAGGTGTCTCGGTTTATTGGAAAAACCACACCTACTATACTGATAATAATCTGATCGTGGCTAATTTGTTGTGTCTTCTCTAGGTTTCTAGAGCTTTATTTCACTCATGTGGCTTTGGAGCCTTGTTCTGATTCTGACAATCATCTCATTTTGTTTTCCAAGGTTTCAAGATGAAAATACTATCTAGCAGAAGCATATACATAATGTTGCATGTAGATTATAGAATCATAGAAATATAGTTGGAGAAGACAGCAAGAGCCAGTGAGTTCATGCAGGAATACACAATCTGATCACTTCTGACAAGTGGTCATCCAGCCTCTGTGTAAAAACCTCCAAAGAAAGAGATTGCACCACACTCTGAGGCAGCATGTTCCACTGTGTCAAACACTTCTTACTATCAGGAAGTTCTAGTGTATGGGTGGAATTTGCAATAGTTTGAATCCATTGCTCCATGTCTTAGTCTTTGGAGCAGCAGAAAACAATTCTGCACCATTTTTAATATGACATCTTTCCAGGTGTTAAACATACACAGCTCCCTAAATTCCTCATAGGGTATGGTTTCCAGACATTTGACCATTTTGGTTGCCCTCTTCTGGACATGCTCCACTTTCTCAGTATCTTTCTTCAGCTGTGGTGTCCATAGTTGGGCACAATATTCCAAGTGAGGCTATTATACATATCAGTGTCAGTATTATCCATTATAACACTGAGAGATCTCAAAGCCATTTATATTTTTGAAAAGTGTTAAAAGGGCATGCAAACTTTTTTATCTTTTAAAATGTTCGGCAATCACTTCAACAAAGAAGCCTTCCAAAAGCAAGGAAATGTATGTGTAAATATACAATTTTCAGCAGATATTTGAATACTACATAGCTTTTCAGGAAAGTGAATTTGTGAGTGTGTTAACATCAAAAAGATCTATTTTTGTAATGTTGCTTGGTGGCTTCTGATGGTTGTGGAACAAAGAGAAATGTCACAGTGGAGATATCAGTGGCTTATTGGAATGTGCATGTCTATCCACACATTAAAATGTTACATAAATATAAGATACATATGAAATTGCATCCTACTTTATTCCGTTAGACTGCAATAGATAGAAGCAAGAGAGCCAGTGGTGACAGGGGTAACAGCAACAGATACTTCTAAATTTAGCAGTATACTAGCAATAGTATTTTCTTGTGATAGAAATGAGATTGTCAAGTCCCAAGCTGTTGTTCCATTCACTGCGTGATTCTCCTTTAAATTCTCCCTGCATCCTTGGGAGATGTATTTTGCTGTCACTGGACTAAAGATAGACCGATGTCCCCATAAAAAAAGAAAAACACATTGGTTTTTTTTGCAGAACTATTCCAAAGAGGTTTGGGAGAATGAAGACATTTCTCTCCCAACCAGGTTTTTTGTTTCCTTCTCCATCCTTATTTTTGCATTTCTTTTCATTTCAAATCCTTTCTACAGTAAAAGAATGGTGATGTTTAAAAATGTGAGCATTCCTTGAGGCACTTACTTTTGTATGATATCTTTATTTATGTTGGATCCCCCTGCCATGTCCCGCCCCAGAGCAACCATGGATTTCCCTAAATTGGATTGGGATCATGATAAAAAGGCTGCCCCTCTCTTAACTCTATGTTCCTAAGCTGAATCGGGCCTCTATGCTTCTTTTCTTGTAATAACAGAGAACTAGTTCTATAGCTCCTATGAACGACTGCTCTTCGGATGAGGACACTAATAAGCACCCTTTTTGGAAGTTGATAACTAATACATTCATTTAACTATAGTTTCAACCATGGTATAGAGCAGGGATTCTCAAACAGTGTTCCATGGAGTCTATGGGGGCTCTGCAGCTCCATGCTGCTTCTCCCCTCCTCCTCTTTCCTTCCTCCTCCTGAGTGATGTGGGGAAATTAAAGTTTGGAGTTGCCAAAACAGCAACAGCAATGTCCTCCTAGGGCAAAGACCCTTTGTCCCTTGCTCCCTCACTACACAGATTCTTTTCCTTGTTTCCTAGACCAACCTCCCTCCCCACCTTCTTTGGTCCCAAAACTATTTGTCTCCCACCGCTCAGGGGGTGCTTTGTGCTTTTCCTGCATGGCAGAAGGGAGTTGGACTGGATGGTCCCTGGAATTTCTATTGTTGTTGTTGTTGTTGTTGTTGTTGTCACTGTTGTTGTTGTTATAGATTTGTTTGTACATAACAACTCATCACACATGCATATTTGTTCCAAGTGTCTGGAATTCATCTCTGACTTTCAGGCTCTTCTGAAGGGCCTAGGATATTAGAGATATTTTTGCAGAATGTGCACAGTTCTAAGAAGTGCTGCCTTCTGCAGCATGTGGATTGATGTTCTGTCCAAATTAAGGATATAATAGTAATAGTAATAATAATAATAATAATAATAATAATAATAATAATAATAATAATACAAAGACTGGGTGGCCATATGTTGGGGGCGCTTTGCTTGTGCTTCTCCTGCATGGCATAAGAAGTTTGGACTGGAACCCCCCCTGGGACGTTCCACTGAAATATTGTTGGTCTATGTTAGTTAAAATTGTTCTTCAGTTTAAATATTGTATTGTTCTTCCATTTTTTTCTTCTACAAATGAGCTATGTGCACTATGCATAGAAATTTCTCCATTTTGTGAAAAATGATTTTCTACAAACACTCTGCATCCATCTGCCACTGGCCTGACCCATCTGTCAAATTTTAATAACAAATGCAGCCCATGTCCAAAAAGTTTGCCCTTGCCTGATATATACACATTATACACATTATATAATATATAAACATTTCTTGGGACTCCATGAGAAACTTTTGCTTCAAAAGGGGCTCCATGGCTGAAAAAGTTTGAGAACTCCTGATATAGAGATAGGTTGAAGTCTCACAAAGCTGGATACAAAAAGAGAGATTTTTCTAAACCCCTAAGTTCTTGTCTGTTCAGATCTTACTTATTTGCTTACTTAGGTGATCCCTCATAGGCTGAGGATGATGGTCCTCCAAATCTGGTGTCTTGGTGGTGGGTTCGTAGGTGGCCGTGGAGCCCTGTTCTTGATCCGCATGTTCTCTCGCAGTGAGAACATTGGTTTCCAGGTGAAAGGTGGTCCCGGTCAGGGTTGGCTTGACATGCCTTCCTCTTGGCATGTTTCTCCCTTTCGCCCTTCATTCATGCCTCTTTGAATTCTGCAGCACTGCTGGTCACAGCTGACCTCCAGCTGGAGCATTCAAGGGCCAGGGTTTCCCATTCTTGAGTTGGGAGTATAGTAACTGCTTCGGGAGATGGTGATTGGGCATTTGGACAGCATGGCCAGCCCAGTAGAATTGATGGCATAGAAGCATCAGTTCAATGCTGGTGGTATATGCTTCTTCTAGCATGCTGACATTTGTCCACCTGTCTTCCCAAGAGATTTGCAGGATTTTTTGGAGTCAGCACTAATGGACTCTTTCTAGGAGTTGAGTGTGATGCCTGTAGACCAGGGGTCCTCAAACTAAGGCCCAGTGGCCAGATAGGGCCCTCAAAGGTCATTTACCCGGCCCTCGCTCAGGATCAACGTAAGTCTGAAATGACTTGAAAGCACACAGCAGCAACAACAACAACAATCCTATCTCATCAGTCAAAAGCAAGGCCACACTTCCAATTGAAATACTAATAATTTTGTATTTGTTAAAAATTGTTCTTCATTTTAATTATTGTATTGTTTTTTATGTGTTTTTGCACTACAAATACGATATGTGCAGTGTGTATAGGAATTCATTCGTGTTCTTTTTTTCAAATTATAATCTGGCCCTTCAACTGTTTGAGGGACTGTGACCTGGCCCTCTGTTTAAAAAGTTTGAGGGCCCCTGCTGTAGACAGTCCACATTTCGCAGATGTATAGGATTGGGAGGACAATAGTTTTATAAACAAACACATTGGTCTAAGCTAAAGAAATCCTTCCTTCCTGACAGATGCCATCTTCCTCAGCTCTCATAGAAAGCACCAAAAGCCTCTTACACTTATGTGTTTTATATTGATACTTGGAATAGAAGTGAAATGCAAATTTATTTTTATTCCCTCCATGTTTTTCTATCATACTCCCATCTTGACTAACACCATATCAGGGGAGAATGTTATTGAAAGATTTATTTCCTTCTCGAGGAGGCTCTTGCAAAAATGGCATCAAATCTCTTTATTCACTGAACCCTATCTTAGCAGAGCAATAGGGAGATGAAAGCAGAAGGATTCTACTCCGGACACGTGTCTATTGATGATGTAACTAATATTGGGCATTGAGATAAATATGTACGCTCTTCAAACCAGATTACTTACCTAGATATTAAAAAGTAGGTTCAAACTGGCATTTCAGATAACCCAGTCCATATTTTGGGGTCTGCAATGTGTGTCATCTTTTGGTGCTTAGAAATATCCTTTGAGTATAGTTAACAAAATGTCTCATCTAACTGTAGTCCTGCTCCAGCCACCGATTCCTTGGAAATAAAAGGAGTAGAAGGTTTGTTGACACTCCCATTGTAAGTAATGCATTGAAGAAAATGGGGGATAACCTGATATGATCCATATATATATATATATATATATATATATATATATATATATATAATGATTTTTTTTAACTTTAAGTAACAGAAGTAAGCCAATCAATCAGTAGATCTCTGTATTCTGAAATAATTACTATTACATTTCACTTTCCAACACCATTTCAGGAATATAGCCTCATTAAAACTGTTTAGAAGGATAGTCAGCCAATCATGTTTCGTTGCTAGTGCTTTCAAATTCAGCATGAGTTCCATAATTCTCATCATGGTTTATTATCTCACAGTGGGTCTGTAATAATTGAGACTATACTCTTAATTGCAACTTTCCAATGAGATGTGGAAAGATGAAAATGTAAATTTCAATAGAGGTTTGGAAACTGGTGAAGAGGATCCTGGAAATTAAGCCTGGAGAAGCCAGTTATTGTAATTACTCCTGTGGCTTTTTAAGTTATCAAGTTACTATACTGTGGTAATTTGAGAAAGCAAAACCATTTTCAATTGCCTTTGTAATTTTAATTATAGCCTTCATTTAAGCTCAAAAATGGCACATTTAGAATTTAAAGGTTGGAATAAGTAAAGGGAAGTCAATGATGAAATGTTGGAGGCTTTTAAACAGAAGTTAGATTCCATTCTCTCAGGGGTGCTTTAGTGGTAGATCCCAGAACTGGCATGAAGTTGGGCTAGATGGCTTTTGCTATGCGTTCCAAATTTATGAGTCTATTATCCTAAGAGCACTGCTACAGAGAAATGTGTTTTTTTTATCACGTCCTTAACCAAGAAGGGAAAAAAAGTTGTGATTTCATATGTGTGATTCTCCCTTAATATTAAAGTTCAAAAACATTTTACTATACTGTTTTTGAACTGTACTACAGATTGAATATCCCTTATCCATACAGTTTAGGATTAGAAGTGTTTTGGATTTTGTTTTTGTTTTTTTCCCCAGATTTTTGGAATACCTCATTTTGCATATACAAACATAATGAGATATATTCAAGATGGGACACAAGTTTAAAAACAAAATTCATTTAAGATTCATATACACTTTATACAAACAGCTTGAAAGTATTTGTATATGCAATGTTTTGAACCTTTTTTTGTATGAAACAAAACTATCAGAAAGCAATGGATTTACTATCTCAGCAATCCATGTGGACAATTTCAGGTTTTGGATGATTTTGGAATTTCGGTCAAGGAAATTCAACCTGTATTATGATTGTAAACTTTTAATATTTGCCTATTTTTATTGCTTGTAATGTTTTGGATGAGGAATATAATTTTTGGTGTTTAATTGGCTGATTTAACACCAGTAATGCAAATGGATTTAATAAATAAAATAATAGATATAATGTGAGGCTATGACATTATATGAGAAATCCGTATGTGGTCTATACTAGGATGTTTAGCCAATTTTAGACAAATTTGTGAATGTGTTATATTTTGATCTGGATTCTGTTCAGTTCTTCTTTTTTAAAAAAAACAATGTGTGTAATTGATTTGGCTGTTCACCTTTTAACTATAAATTTATCTTACGTTCAATTTATTATTAGTCCTGGGAACTGTTCTTTATAGAAAGGTGGGGGTATACATTTTACAAATAATTAGAAAGCCATGAAGCAAAGGTCTTCCTTTCCTCCGAGGCAGACAGAGTCTTCCTGGGTAGACAAAATATGGGTTTATCAATAGTTTCTGTTTTTCAGGGAAACACTCTGTGTATTGTCCTCTAATTTGACTTCTGCTTGAGAAAACATCTGAAAATTCCCAACAGAGAGTGTGATAGAGTTCTTTCAGATATCTTAAGAAGACCCTGACTCTCTTGCTCCCATTTTATTACCTTTCATTATTATTTTTATAAAGGAAGGGATGGAAAATGTATTATCAGTTATCCAGTCTCTGGCAAGCCAGCTAGGTTCCACTCAAGCAAGAAATAACATTATTGAAGTAATACCTGTTTCCCTCAAGCCTTGATAATTACAAATACATTTCTATGGACTTTTAAAGAAAGTTTTTAAAGAGGGTGATGGCAATACAAGATTCTCTTAGACAAAATCATTATCTACATCCTTTCCAGGGCAAATCCAGCACTGATTTTGAGATGGGAATGGCCTTGGTAAGCAAATTACCAACAGTAAGAAATAGAAAGAACAAGTCTTTTTGTTCTGCTGGACCTCCCAGAACCGTGTAATTCCTTTTATTTAGAATTTATTTATCATCTCCTTCCATGATTCTTGGACCTGGAAGAAGAATGGTAGCATGTTTTGTGGTTCATTTCCCATTTGTCATAGGTAAGTGTAGATCTAAGATGTTGCTGGTAGAAAGCTGTTTTGTTCCTTTAGTGATTCATACCTAAAATCCCACCTCTGACATCTACATGAGCTCAATGGGAGATGTCATCCTGAGTTTGGAGACTGGGTCTCATTACTATGCTGATCTACCCAGCTGTATCACTTTTTTGTGTAATGATGAGGAGTCTGTGGAAATATTGAAGCAGTGTCTGGATTTAATCAAGAACTTAACATAGTTGATCAAATTAATGCTCTCTAAATGGTTCCCATTGGAATAAATAAGATTTCGAAGTATTTAACTTCAGATAGATCATACATGTGATGATTAAGACCATAAAGTTATTTTCTTACATCCTGGAATTTATTCAATAATAGCTAATAGTCTGTTTTGTTAATTATACGTGTGCCCTACAGTGAAGTATTGTCAGTGTTGATATATGTGGAACACTGATTTCATATTTCTCTACACATGTTTTCACAATGGAAACAACCAATACCTGTTTACCCAGGAGGACATCTTATATTACACATCGCAGAACAGATCATCAATATAGGTTGAAGTCAGTGCCCAAAACAGCACGGTTCAGCCATCTTTCACTTTAGTGAATACTAATGGAATTATTCTCTAGTTTTAGGAGATAGCGATTTGTTACAGAGACATTTCATTTGAAAATCCTCATTAGGGATACTCCAAAAAGAACAACTTGTGAATGGCTTTGCAAAGGATAATAGTGTCTACACACTAAAGGGATTTTTTTTGAAACTGGTAATTGTTGACCTATTCAAGAGGTGTTGCCTCTCCCTGAATTTGTCATCATTTGCCCCCAGTAATATAAGCATGTAGTCAAATCTAATTCACTGCAAAGCATTAGGATGGCATGTATACTACTTGTCCCACTATTTTGGAGGATCTCCAAGTGAGTAATGTAAGGTGGTGGAAAAGTCTAAGAAAAGTATGTTGCCTAAGTGTATGGAGATCAGTAGCATTACAAAGAATAAAAAGGTTTACTTAAAATAAAAAGGGTGCCCCAATAACAATTGCTAAATCTCCTACTACAAAAACAGTAAATTTCTTCATGAAATCTGAATGTGAGGATATTGAGAACAGCATTAGATGGAAATCATAATTTCAGAAGAAGCAGGCTCTAGAACTACTTAATTTTCTTCTTTTGTGTTTGAGTGTGTATCTGAAATGAATGTACACCAAGTATTCACTGGGATAAGCAGTTCACATTTCTAGTTGAAATTATAGTATCTCTTTTTTTTCTTTACATTTTATTTTCTTATTTTGACACTCACTCTGGATTATACTTGTTGCTGATTTCAATTGGATGTTATTGTGCCATAGTTTAACAAGACCTTTAAATGGTTCCCCCGTTTGCTGTTTTGTATGCAATCACATAAGAAATAGAAATGAGTTTTACAGCAATGAAAAGTAAACACAACCATTTTAAAGAGACCCTTCTGTTATGCATAAATTACAGTATTTTCTTGGGATGCATTCCATGGAAAGAACTAAGAGTGCAATATGTAAGTTTACTCAGATGTGAATTCTACTATGTTCAGTAGGATTTGGTCACTGGTAACTATGCATAAGACCCCATCATCAATCATATTTGGGGAAATAATATTTGTATGCCTCTCCTTATTTTGAAAATTGCATATAGTATATATAAATGATGACGTTCTGCAAAAATGCTCCTAATCCAAAATGCAATGACAACCAATTACCTGGACTATTATTTGCTCCAACATAATAAATCTCTTAACACCAAGGAAATTAAAATCATGTTTTCATTATGTTTTCCAAGCACCCAGCCAGCCTCCAGGAAACATTGTGTGGAACGTTACAGACTCCAGGGTAGTGCTGAATTGGGAGCAGGTGCATGCAATGGAAAATGAATCAGAAGTAATTGGCTATAAGGTGAGTACAAGCAAGGCAGTGGTGACAGAGTTTAAAGTGCTTGCTAGAAATCGCCAATTTTGTATAAGTGCCATTTCTTTTTGCCACTGCTACAGAAATTTGTTTTGACCTTGGCTTTTAATATCCACATTTTTTAAAATGTCAGGCCAAGTGAACATATTTCTGTTTAACCTGCAGTAATCTATTTTAGATTTTAGCATCACCATTATCTCAAATACATTCTCATAACACTCTTAATAGCTGTATAAAATATCTATTTCTTGGAGTTTATTCCCACAAAATGTTGAACATGTATACGTTTATACGGTTTATCAAAGTGTGTGTGTGTTGGTTGCCTGTTGCTTTTTGATAATCCCATCAACTCTGTGGGATCATCATAGGCAAGAAACATTCCAGGAGTAGGTTTGCTGATACCTTCATGTGAAATCTATCCTAGTCGATAAAGTACCTTGTATTCTGGGGTTGTCTACCATCCAATTAGTAACCAGGATTGACCCTGCTCATTTTCCAATATCAAATGTGATCTGCTGTCTTCAGTATACTTGGGCCATAATAATATACTAGCTTTATTGCTATCACTATTGTGATTTCAATTTCTGTGCTGCTTTTCATCATAGCTGTACCCTGAACAATTCCCAACATAAGATCAGCAACAGAACATCAGTATGTATCAAAACATCTTTACAATTCATTGCAGGGGAACTTTTACCAATTCATTTCAAAACATAATACAGCAATCCAAATAAACAACTATCATTTCACAATATGCGTTTCAGTATCCTATGTGTATTTTCATCTGTATGAAAGTATCAGCTATTTACTGGAATATCCACATTTATCTTGGTCCTGTGTAGCTATTACTTTTCCATTGTGAATTGTCACATTTATTTCAACAAATGATGATGGCTGAAGTGCAATCTGACACACATTTGGGAGTAAGTGCAGCAAATAGGACCTTGCAAGAAAATGTTGCAGCATGTAATGTTTTTGTTCACTATTTCAGTCAGTGAGCCTGAAAGCTACCACACCGTTTTTTCATTTTCCATTTTCCCCCTGTAAGAATCAGTCAGCGTACCATACACTCTGAACATCCTTAGCTCTTATTAGATATTTAAATAAGTCTTTTTGCCTACTCAAGGTTTTATGTATTTCTGCAAAATTTCCTCTCACCTACTGAACTTTCCTGATGTTGCTCTTCTGACTACCAAAATGATCTGTATTTGTCAAATGAATGAGTGTGTCTCTATGTGATATGGAGGGGAAAGTATACTTCTGTGGAAAGGTGGCTAGGATGTGGCAGAAAATAATTTGTGTTCCTTGCTAGATTACATCATTCCCTTAAGTGGTATAATCTTTTTCTATATCATTTCAATTTTTCAAATATTCAGACCTTTGCCTCACACATTTTTCAGCAAACTCAGAACACACTGCCAAAGGCTAATAGTGCACCCAATGCCACCTTCAAACTTTGTAATAAAGTAGAGATTTGAGTCCAGTTTTTCTTCCTATCCTATCTGTAATGTCTATGTACACCACATTAATATTCCATCGATATCCTGTGTTACTATTAATCTACATTAGTGTCATGAAAAACTATCTTTTGAATGCTACAAACCAGGATAGGCAAAGTTGGTCCTCCTGATGTTGTTTTCCTACAACTGCCATAATCTTTGTCTTGGACAGGATTGATGGAGTCTTTGGCCCATTAACACCTGGAAGGGAAGTTGCCTATTCCTGCTCATAGCAGTGTAGCCACTGGATTAGGTTTAGGAATAGAGGGAAGCAACCACTCAAACATTTCCCTCTTTTTAATCTGTATTAGCAAGGAACATCTTTTAAGCATACAGCTATACCAAGAAGCAAAAGTATAGCTTGTTTTGAAAAACAAAAAAAATCCCTTAAATATAATATTGGCTATAGGTCATTATGGAGTTATGCATGTGATTTTCCATGCTTCATTAGTACATCTTTGTTCTGACCTCTTGACACTACCATTTGCCACATGAATGAATGAATGATCCATGTTAATTCATTCTAAAGTAACCAGTAAATCAGGAATATTATAGCTGGCAGAGCAGAGTATAAAGTCTCCTTTATGGCTGTCTGGGCAGGGGGGTCAAACAATCCCACCACTGCCACCTATATTAAAGACACGTCGTGTGGCCAAACAATATCTCTGGACAGGGGATAAAGCAAATCCCACCAACTGTCCCTCCAGTATAAAGAATTTACACCACTTTGGCACCAATAGAACGTTTGAGGGATTGTCTCACTAATTAACTTCCGCTGCCACCATAAACAATTGTACAGGAACACTCTAGCTGTTTAAAATATTAAAAAGGGCTTTTATTACCACCAAGTACTGTGTTTTATTTTCTTATTTAAAGGAAGCAGGTGAGGTTGAATGAAAAGAACTATAGCCACAAAGGCACACTGGACTCAGGCTTTTACGTTTCAAAATAAACAAGAAAAGTTTATTGAATAAAGTACAGAATGAAGTGAATGCTGTTTAATAAGCTTGGCTGTTACAGATAAGGTGTTCTGGTTCTTGAAAGCGTGACGGTTACATGTGAATGGTTCTTTCTTTGTTACAAATATAAAGATTTTCTTCTCTTTAAACACAAGTATTCTTGACAGTATCTGAATCTCTGCCAAGATACAACTGTAGCTTAGCTACCCTCAACTGTGGCCTAGCTAACTACAAAACCCAGCTATTTCTTCCCTAAATAGCTGTACCCAGTTTGCTACAGCTTACTTCGCTGGCAAACTTAAGGCAAACTGCCTACTCTTAACACGAACTCCTAAAAACTTCTGTAATCCTGCTCTAAACTCTAACTAACCCCTCTAACTAATCTATCTATCTATCTATATACATACCCATATCTAAACACATTTTGCAATACTCACATATGCAATAAATACATTTTGCAATCAATATATACCATATGAAATCAATGCATTATACACAATAAATATATTCCTGTAGGGAAAAAAACATGTTAAATACATAGCAACAATGTATATAAACAATCTAACACAGCAAATACAATACCTTTTGCAATCCTAGTCTTTACCTTAACTCATGGCTCGGGACAACGTATCTGCGATAACATTTTGAGTGCCCTTAATATGTTTTATTTCAAAATCATAATCTTGGAGGGCTAAACTCCAACGAATTAACTTACTATTAGTGCCCTTAACCTGGTGTAACCACCTTAAGGGTGAATGGTCAGTGCACAGAGTAAACCTTCTTCCCCATAAGTATGGTTTTAATTTAGTGATAGCCCACACTATAGCCAAACACTCTCTTTCAATTACTGATAAGTGCTGTTCCCTTTCTATAAGTTTTTTACTGAGATACAGCACAGGTTGCATCACACCTTCTTCGTTTTCCTGACCTAGCACTGCTCCAAGTCCTACCTTGGAGGCATCCGTGGTTAAAATAAAAGGTTTCTCAAAATTAGGCGCTATCAACACAGGTTCACTCATTAAGGCACTCTTCAATAAGTCATAAGCGGTCTGACACTCAGTTGTCCACTTAATTTTATCAGGTGATGTCTTTTTTGTGCAATCAGTTAATACTGCCGCCAGAGAACTAAAATCAGGAATGAAACGTCTGTAGAATCCTACAGCTCCTAAAAAAGATCGGATTTGTTTCTTGGTTTTTGGAACAGGCCATTCACGTATTGCCTGTACCTTATCCATATCCGGCAATATGGAACCTCCTCCCACTATATGACCAAGATATTTAACATGTGATCTGGCCATTTGGCACTTAGAGGCTTTGACTGTTAAACCAGCCTCCCGGATTTTGTGCAACACCTTCCCTAAGTGTTCCAGATGTTGTTCCCACGTCTGGCTATAAATTGATAAATCATCTATATAGGCTTGTACAAAGTCTTTCATCCCTGCTAACATTTGATCAATTAACCTCTGGAAGGTGGCTGGGGCATTTTTTAGCCCAAAACTGAGGACGGTAAATTGGTACAACCCATCTTTAGAAATAAAAGCGGTTTTCTCCTGGTCCTCTGGTGCATAGCCACCTGCCAATATCCTTTTGTGAGGTCCAGGGTTGTTATGTATTGGGCTGACCCTATGGTCTCTATTAGCTCATCTATTCGCGGCATCGGATACACATCAGAGATACTCAACACAGTAACAGTTTCTGAAAGCCTACATGATACAGCATACTTCCTCCTTTCTTCTTTCCCTTGTTGTGTCCCTAATATCCAATAAAGTCATTGAGTGATTGGTGGCAATACAACTCCAGGGTTTTTTGGATTAGAAGGATTGTCTGGACTCATTCCAGTCTGAGTTTAAGCCTAGCTTTGGGACACAAACAGGCTTTGTTGCCTTTGTGGATGAATGACCTTACACCAGGAGTTGGATAATGAAATAAGTTCCTGCTGGTCTTCGTGGATCTTCCAGCAAGATTTGATTCTATTGACCATGGTACTGTTCTAAATTGTATGGCTGATATGAGACTTGAGGCATTCTTTTACAGTAGTCCCAGTCTTTATTGACTAAGCATTCCCAGGGGTAGTGCTCAGTGTTTCTAGTTTAACCTTTCATTCCCTAGAGGTCAACACTGGCCCCTGTTTTCCAACATCTACATGAAGCCATTTGGGACATCTAGAGTTTTGGGATTCATTGTAATCAGTATGTTGATGATAACCAGTTATCTCTCCTTTAAAACTGATGCCAAAGAGACTGTGTCATTGTCTGTATGCAGGACTGGATGTGAGGAAATGGACTGAGGATTAATCCAGACTAAGGCAGAAGTTCTTCTGTTCAGTAGGAAAATCAGCCTGGGATTGTGATCATGGCCCATTCTGAATTGCTTTCCTTCTGAAAGCATCATAGTTTTGAGGTGCTCTTGAAACCAGTGCTGGTCCTAGAAAGTCAGGTTGTTGCAGGGACCAGGAGCATCTATGCCCAGTTTAAGATTATATGCCAGGTGCACCCTTTTTTGGGTGAGACATATCTGGCAACAGTGATTC